TCCCTAATTGCGGTTCTCATAGTATTGGTCTTCGAAACCGGATAGTACTTTTTCAAAAATTCTTGTTGCATTTCTGCCCAAGAAGTTATAGAAAAAGGCCTAAGGTTGTTGAACCAATACTTCGCCTTATCTTTAAGGGTAAATGGAAAAAGTTTCAGCCTTAAAACTTCTTCCGGCATGTCCGTGTATCGAACGGTAGAACAAACTTCAAGAAACTCATCCAAATGCTTGTAAGGTTCTTCACTAGGAAGTCCATAAAAGTTAGGTAGCATTTGGATAGTTTGTGCTTTAATCTCATAATGGTGTGCTCTAAATGGTGGCAATTGAATGCATGTGGGTGCATTATACTCATTAGGCACATAGTGATCTCTCAATGCGAGTGGTGGATTAGCAACTTGAGGTGCAACATAGACACCTTGGTTATATTGAGCTTGATTAATGATGGGGGGTTGTGGTGCATACATTGACCTTGGAATTCCCATTGGAATTTGGCCTTGTTGTTGAGGAGGTTGATGAATGTATGGCCTAGGCATGCCTAATGTGACTTGCATATTATCATTTTACACATTAGGGTGAAGGATGCCTTGTTGGTCTATGTGACCAAGGTCTTCAACATGATCATCATTGAGAGCATCCATTGGTAGATTGGTTCTATGTGAACTTCCTCTTCCCCTTGGATTCCTAATAGTGGATCCTAAATGCAAATCAAGAGGGACAAGAGTAGGTCTCAATGAACGACGACCATGCATGCACAATGCAACACGAATAAGCAACTTTCTCAACAATGCAATTAAACTTCACAACCACAATTTTCAAATGCAATGTATGTCAAATAAATGCCTCCACGTGGGCCCCCGATTTAACTAAGGAGATTGAGTAAGAAGGTCTCACAATAGTCCTTTAGCACTTCAACTCCAAATTTAAAAACTTAGCTTAGCAAAAAAATTTTTTTTTTAGCAACTCTTTATTTTAAGCATTTTTCCTTTGCTTTGCTTTGCTCCTTAACTTGGAAGTTCTTTGCTAGCTCCTTGCTCAATGCACCTTGTTAATGAAGAACAAACTTAATAAGTAATCAAAAACAGAAAATAAAAAGAAAGTAAAGACACGATCAAAAGAGTACTAATCCTAATTGAATTTCACAATTCGACGTTGCCAATTTAAAATCCCCGGCAACGGCGCCAAAAACTGACCGGTCCTTTACAAAGGTCGCGATACCAAGTCAAGCTTGAGAGTTGTGTGTGTTTAGGAGGTGGCCAAGTTTTACATTTATAAAAAGCCACTACTACCTTTCTCTATATAAAATATAGATAGGGCGAGTAGGGATCGTCCCAAGGGATTTGATGGTGTATCGAATTGTGAACTATGGTAATTAGGGTTAGTAGGTCAAGTGATCACACAATTGGTTGGTTGGTTGATTAGGCTAAATTGAATTTAACTAAATAAAATAATATGAGGTAAATAAGAGAGAGAGAGGTCTTGGGGTGTAGAGATCACCACCAAGCAATACTTTTCTATACTACTAACAAGTGATCAATTGAGGATAATAGATGTGTTGCAATGTGATAAGGGTGTGTGTGCATTAGGTTGATTCAATTGGCAAGGATGACAAATCAAGCAAGTATTGTCTAAACATCATGTGAAGAGCACAATATATCTAAACAATAGAGCATATATTGTCTAGACAACATGGGGATAGCACAATATATCAAAACAAGTCATTAATCCTTCATTAAGCTCACAATCCACATGCAACACAATATTAGAGGAATATGCCATTTGGACTCACAAGCATGGAACATCAAACATCAAGAGTAGATTGTCCTCCCATCTAACATTATACTACCACTACACTAAATCTACACTACTAGCATGAAAATAAAGCTATCTAGACTAGGGGAGAGGCACAAACCATCAAGAATAGGCATAAACTATCAAATGAACCAAAATAGCATTCATTAAGCATATCATCTTGATAATCTCTAGATCTATTGCATCAATACACATAGACATGCATCAAAAACACTAAATCTAGAGATAAGCACATGAATATCCTACTCTAGCATACATAGACATATGGGTAGAATAGAATAGTCAATTGGAAGCATTAAACCATACAAACCATGAAATAATCAAGATTTATATATACATGAATATCAAGATGTATCATACAACACTAATCCCTCAATAATACACAAGATTAGAGTATAGAAAGCATGCTTGGGGCTAACTCTAGCCCCAAGAAGATGTCTAGCCACTCATGGTAGTGATGATCCAATCCTCAAGGGCTAACTCCATGGCTGCTCCTTGTAGATGAAGATCTCCTCCAATGGTTGCTCTAGCTTCCTCCCTTCTTCCTCTCCAAGAATAGCCTCCAAGATGATTTTCAATGTGTGACAAGAGACTCTAGGCTCCTTACCAAAAAATGTATCATATTCCTTATATAGGTAGGTCAAATACACCCTATGATGAGCTTTGGTCGTGCAAGGTATATTCTCCAATGATTGGGTGAAGGACGGAATAAATGAGCTGGACTTTAACTTTTTCTCACTGGAGGAAGTTCGATCGATCGAACCTTAACTTGGATCGATCGAAGATGGGTTCGATCGATCGAACTGCATCTTGGATCGATCGAAGTGGTCTGACTCCTCCGAATAAGGACAAGGCTGAGATATTTCAAAAATATTTATGGGGAAAAGGACAAAAGTGGTTGGTAGGCGTACAGTTATGGATAAGATCAATCATTTGAATAGGACAAAATAGGGTTCGATCGATCGAAGGTGATGTTGGATCGATCGAACTTGGAATTTCAGCAAAGGCCAAGGTTGGATCTATCGAGAAGTACTGTGATCGATCATAGATGTTCGATCGATCGAACTCTAAGTTGGATCGATCGAACTTTTCAGCTGCACAACTTTGATTCCTTTTTGCTCCTTTCTTTCTCCACTTTGCTCCCTCCTTTGGTTTATCTCAGGATTGCTTCAATTAAGCTCTTATTTGGTTGAGTTAGCTCAATTTTGGGATTAGTGCCTGAAAATATAAATAACACGTAATAAGTCTAAAACGGCAAAGTAAGATAGATAAAGGTACTAGAATGCTTAAGCTTAACGGGTTTAAATGCGCACTTTTCAGTGCTCATTATGTTTGACCCATAATAAGGTCAACAATTCGTTGACCAAAATCAGATCAATGATTATTATTATTATTATTATTATTATTATTATTATTAACACGTTTCATATTGAAACACTAGTGTTTTTGCAGTCCAGTAATGTTGAAGCTGGATTGTTTTAACTATTTTAGTAGTCTTAGACCATATATATGTCATCGTCCATCCAATGATTTCTCTAACAAATTAATTAAGGATTGATCCTATTTTAATCAATTTATGATATTCACGTTGTTAATACACTCAAATGTCTAATAGAATATTTGGATATGTTTTGTTTATTTTAGGCCATTATGCCTTCAAGTGAAAAACATCCCTCTCGAGTGCCAATGTGGAGAGGTGTCAAATTTGCTTATGCAGTCAAATCGGTGGCTATTGGGCTTATGGTCATATGGTATATATTATTTTTCACCTCATTCTATACAAATTTGTACTCTTAATTTGAAAAATAAACAATAAAATACATATATATTTTTTTGGCAAATAATAGGTTGAATTCTTCTTGCTAAATGAGAATTACTATTCACTTGCAGATACCAGAAAATGGAGGCATGCTAACAGTATTGTACGCTTTCCACGGAAAAGATGCCTCACAATTCGCTCTAGGACTAACAAGCTTATTTGTGATAATAAACGCGGTGAACTCTTTCCAAATCTATGGCATGCCCATTCGACGACATGGAGTCCAAGTACACAATAAGGATGAGGAAGCCATGCCCCTGGTGGCTCCGAGCAATTTTTAGGACCATGTTTGGATACGGATGCTTCTTTGTTGCTGTGGCAATCCACTTCCTAGGAAGCCTAGCAGGACTAATCGGAGGATAGCATTACTAGTGACTTTAGCTTATCCATGTTTTATGTGGCTCAAGGTTAAGAAGCCCAAGGGTTATAGCCCAATTTGGTGGCTGAACTGGGGTTTGGGCCTCTTAGGAATGGGTCTAAGTGGAATATTAATTGCAGCTGGGGTGTATGTTGTCATTGACACCGGTATTGAAGTGAGCTTCTTTAAGCCTCACTAAGTACATTAATTTAGATAAAAATTAGGAGTGGTTGGTTTATGATTTAGAATTGGGAATAACCATAACTATATTTGTTTATATGTAATTGTGGTTTCGATTCAGGAAAAAAGTGTATCTGACATAAACAGTATTTTCACTTCTTCATTTCAACAATATTATAATTTGGTACCCTTGTTGAAGACTCGTAAAAGATAAAAAAATATTCTAATGCCGTTATGTATGAACATATAAATTGTGTTTCATATAACATATACCCAGATTGAGTGTGTCTTTATGTGTTTCATATAACAAATTTTGATGCTTACATGATTTAATGGTCTTTAAACTGTATGTGTTTCATATAGCATATACCCGTATTGTTTTGTTTTTTTTTTTTTTTTTAATTATATACCCATAAAATATTTCTATTACCCCTTAAAAATATTTAAAAAAATTATTATTACATCCTTACATAATTTTTGGAATCCATCATGATAAGACATCTCAATAATTCACACACTTATTTGGTTCCTTTTCTAGTTCTGTTACTTTCCATCTTCTTTTGCATTTTATTATATGTTTAGTGATTAAAGAGAAATTGTTAAATAGTCATATCTAATTCAATTAAAATGTCATGACCCTCAACCGTAATCTAGGTTGTGAATATAAAACAGAATAAAGAAATGTTTGTATTCAGAAATGTCTGACCGAGCCTTGGAACAATGTCAAAAAAAAAAAAAAAAAAAAAAAAATTTAATAAAACTTTAATGTCCATAGCTGATAATAGAAAAATCACTTGATTCAAAATCATTTTAAATAAAGTTCCCCGTTCACACTTTATCTAAAAATATGAAAGGAGGTTTCATACGTAAAATCCCATAATCCTTTAATTACAATATTTAAACACGATCTGTTTGGAAAAATATTTACAAATATACATACTGGTCTCAAAATATACATTTCCCATTTAGACAAAGATAAATAACCAAATAGAATCCAACATCCATCCATGGCTGTGGAGGAAATCCCTCTACGACCTCTTGTCCATAACCTGAAAAAAATGTATATGTAATAGGAATGAGCAACCATAACTCAGTATGAAATGTCTAACCACCACTCCTTAATACCCTCATGAATCCAAACAAAGAATAGGAATCAGAAAGGGAGTCATGCTAGTCAGGAGGAAAATAATCATCACATAATCATGCTATCACACAAAAACAGTCAACACAGAATAATATAAAGTGCCATATAAGCAGAGTCAAAATCATTCCCCTTAATACAACCTTCTATACAAAGTATCACCTTTCTAATTAGCACAACCATTAGTCTAAAGGTAAACCCTTGTACCGTGAAAGGACTATCCTTCTATTAATACCTAAGGAACCCTTTAGCATTAATGAATTACTGCACCTAGACAAAAAGATAACTACTCATGTCTAATCATAAACACAAACTGAGAATATCCATCTCTATTACTCCATATTTACCACATTCATGCCGGGAGAGAAATAACCACAATATCACATTTTCAAACCAAGGCATGAATGGATATGCCATGCAATGGGTGCAATGTCATGCGATATCGCTCCCCATTTTTCCAAAACCAACCGTCACTTTTCAAACTGTTAATGTAACCCCCTTCGGTAACCCCTCAGCGCCGAGAGAAGAATTGGCTACTGTCCTTGACCCTTGGTACCCCCGCGGCGTCATTTGGAGCCCAGATAGCTCAACTACGCTCGGACGATCTCCCTAGTTTCCTCTTGGTTACATTAACTCCACGAACTGTTGGTACCCCCGCAGCGTTCGGGTTTTCATAAAAACCATTTTATCAAAATTTTTTCTCCCAAAAATCCCTTTCACTTTCATTTCAAAACACTTTCCCCTTTTCTTTCATACCCAATACTATGGATGAATGCACATGCTTCACAATATTATAATACCATATCATTACTCACATCAAAATCCAATTTTATAAACATATTTTGGCAACAAATATATCATGGCAGCAAGCTTCACAATGACATACTATCACAGCCTTCAAGAAATCAACTCAAGTATGTTGTCATCTAATCTATACAACATAGAAGTTATAAGACATAGAAAACATATAGAAATTCTATGGACACGCTTTGACAGCAAATTTATCATGGCAGCATGTTTCAAGGACAATGTATCATTCAGTTCTTTGAACACTATTACAACATCAAACTTATAACAAAACAATCCATAATTGAAGTGAACTAAATATATAATTTCTAGATTGTCAAACAATAACAATACAACCATTGTGATTACTTGAATTTCAGTTTTTAAGCACATAAACATCAACAACATTTTAAGAGCTCAAATTCCATATTTAAAACACATAACGCATCATTTCTGTCTAAGTTATAAAATTTCAGATTTTAATTACACAACATGCTTGTAAAGAAAGCCTAATTTAAGTCATATAATGGTTCAATTTAAAAGATTTAATTCACAAGGAAACAAAGGGTGTGAGGGTTAAAACAACCTCTACTAGTTGTTAACAATTCATACGCAGCTTGTTACCTCCATCTTTGAAAATTCATAATAATTTCAATTATATGTCAAATTGAGTGATTCCAAAGCCTAATGAAAGCTTAAACAATGTACTTTGAAAGTGTCAATTTAGTTTAACAAAATCCCTTCCCAATTGGAACAGTTTTGATCCAAAATTTTGAAATAAATTCTGCCCAGAAAACTGATTTCCAGCCTGTTGCTTCCAACTTTGAAAAATCATAAAAAATTCAATTCTCATCCAAATTAAGTGAATCCAAAGCCCATTGAAAGTTTAAAGACTATATTTTCAAGATAAAATGTTACTTCATCAAAATCCCTTACCATTTATATCAGGTTTGATGAGAAAAATTCGAACAAAATTTGCCCCCAACCCAGAATTTCCAGCAAGAACACTATAACTTCAAAAATTAGTAATAAATTCATTTTTCAACCAATTTAAATGAAACCAAATCTCAATGAAATCTAATTAACTATATTATCATAATATCAAATCATCTCTAAAAGATAAATTACGAATTTACATGAATTGAGCAAAACAGTTGCATGTAATTAAGTTTTAGAAGCACAGAATTTCAGTTTTATTTGTATACACTTTGCAACTCAAAATTTGAAAGAAATTAACTTACTAAAGGCAAAGGAATTGAGGGTTAGACAATCCTACCTCTTTGCAGCTTGAAAACCCAGCTACCAACAATTTAAAGCAATCCAAAGTAAGCTACCAATTTTGCAAAAAGATGAAGAACACCTCTTGAAATTCAACCAACCCTTCCCTTTTCAAATAAGATTTTAAAATCCCAGCAGTGAAGAAATGATTGCAACTTTGCTACCAAAATGAAGCCCAAGACATCAACTACACTTTTCATTCACAAACCGTTCCCAAAATCCCAACACAAAAGCTTCAAACTGTCATGTAAAGAAGACTACTATGAAGGAGAACAAAGGGATGAAAAATGGCATTTTGCAGATTGTGTTTTGTGTCTATCCCATTCAATTGTAATACTATATGTCATCACACACACACACACAATATGTGGCCATGTAAACCCCCATGTGTCAAGCTCACAATTAGTCATATGCAAGACCACGCAAAAATGACCAAAAAGTCCTTTCATTATTTCTAAATGCCAATTATGCCATGTGCCTACTAAAAGTCTACTTTGCCCTATATAAAATAATCAAATACCATATATACCATTTGTAAAACAAAAAGTCCATAATGCCCTTTATGAAATAAACAAATGACATTTAACTAAATTAAACACATTTGCAACTTAAATCATAATTTCCGGTAATAAAATAAAAATGCATGAATATCAAAATGACTAGAAAAATGATAAAAATGCAAGTGCTCACATAAAATTCTTCAACTAAAAAATCGGTAAACCTATAAAAATTTAATAAGTATAAAGAAATCATGGATTTTGATTAGACTATAGATTACAAACAGTGTTCACCGTATTAACCAATACATATACAAATTTCTAAGTTATCTATACCGATTCACAACAGGATCGACCGGTACGCCTTTATTACCTGCGTTACGCTCAGTTATGTTTTTTCCCATACCAGCCACATTAGCTTTTTTATGTTTGCACTTTGCAGACTTGCAGTCTGTTTGCTAGATTAAAAAGACAAAAAAAAAAATATATAAAAAATAAAAAATTGGAAAGCTGAGTATATTGGACAATATGTAGAGCAAACTTTCAACAAAAACAACAATGATTGTCTCTTAGAGTTTACCTTTGATTTGAAAAAAGTGGGTTGCGTGACTGTGTGTGGCTTTATACTTTGTAGTTTGTACACCGAGCATAAGTTTGGAGTCTCTTAGAGTCATCTTTATCAAATTATGTTATAAGAAGTCGCGGTGCATTTTGGGCTGGGTGGCCCTGAGCCCATCCAAAAACTATAGTCAATTTTAGCCCGGTCCAAATTTATTATTATTATTATTAGTATTAGCCCACCCAAAAAATATTAATTCATCCCATTAACAATTTCTGAATCCGTCCTTGATTTTAGTTAACATGTGTGTGTTTGAAAAAAATTTAAGAGTGCGATAATTGATACCGTTACGTAATACCGATACTCATCTAAGTCCGTTACACCCGAATGCGACCGATACCACAACTGAAAACCTTACAAGTGAATAATGCCTAATGCGAGCTGTCGTTTTTGTCTCAATGAGAAGCTTCAACCATAGTAAGCCATTGTTTAAAGACTTTAATGACCTCCTCAACAATCTCTTAGAATATTCACCATACACCCAGTGCAAAGATAGTCCACTCGGCTAATGCCTACGAAAAAGTCATCTCCCAAAAGCACTGATTACATAAGCTAATTTCTGATACATACGGGATTCTCCCGTATATACATGGAATATTTTTATGTGTACATTATACAATACAATAAAAATATTAAATTACACTATACCGTCTTTTTAAGGTTTGAACAAATTACAGGACTATTCAATTTTTATTATTTTAATTTTTCTAAATTCATTTATCATTGTCCGAAAATAACTTTAAGTTTGAAAAGACAATAATGTCCTTGTATTATAATAAGATATTATATTACAAATATTTGTTAATCTAAAGAATACTATAAATGGTGTATATAGGGGTGCACAAAAGAACCGGAACTGTGGAACCGGAACCAGAACCAAAACCGTTTTTTCCGGTTCTCACGGTTTCGGTTCCGGTTCTAATCCCGGTTCTTAATTTCGGAACCGTGAGTGTACAGTTCCGGTTCCGGTTCCAGCCCGTGGGACCTGGTAAGAACCGAAACCATATATATATATATATATATATATATATATATATATAATTATATATTTAATTAGTTATTTTAAACTAAAGGCCTACAAGCAGCCACATGTTTGAAACCTCATCTAACCATCTAAAGATTCTAAATCAATCGCCTCCATCTCTATTCAATCGACTCTGAACTTGCCTTTCTTTCTCAGATCTGAACTTCGCTTCCATCTCTATTCTCTCGACTCTGTACTTGTCTTTCGTTCTCAGATCTGAACTTGCCCCTCTCTCTCTCTCTCTCTAGCAAGTTTAACAGAGAAACCTTCAGGACAGGTTGAAATAATGTTGAATCTTGGCAAATTTGGAACCCAAGGGTCTGTCCATACATTAACACCATCACCTGTACCCACCCTCCATCATAAACCTCTCTTGAGAACCTCTTTGCAACTACACATGCTTTTCCAAGCCCAGCTGGAGCTCTTTTTTACTCTAGCCTCCAAAAAAGAAGTCTCTGAAAAATATTTACCTTTACCTTTCAAAACCCATATATTTCAGATTTGTCGGCATATCATTTCAGATGGTTCAAAAACATCAAAACCCATATCTTTCAGTTCCATCGCTGCTGTTCCAGTTCGGGTTCGCAAGCTTCAGGCGCTCTCAACTCATGGTTAACGGTTCTCATGGAACCGAACTCTACGGTTCGGTTCCGGTTCGATTTTAATCTATATGGTTCCGATTCCGTTTTTTAGGAACCGTTGTGAACGGTTCCGGTTCCGACTGGAACCGTGTGCACCCCTAGGTGTATAACTTGTCCAAATTTAAGAAAATCCTCAAAATGGATTAGGTATGAAAATATAACTTTTGTTTTTTCCGCTAAATAATAAAGCTATAAATTGTTTTTCATATAACATATATCCATGTCTTTATGGGCTTTTTAAAAGATAAAATTTTTGGATACCGCTTACGATGGTAAGTACAACCTAAAAGAGAGTAAAATTTTTAAGCGCAAGAAAGATTGCTTATCCCTTGTTGCAAAAGTGGGTAAGTTACTAGGTTTTAAATTTTTTTATTTTTATTTTTATTAACTACTTAAGGAGGAACCATTAATGGGTTGACCTGGGCTATAGCCCAGGTTCAATTAAAAAAAAAAAAAAATAGTATTACTGTTCATATAAGCCCAGTGCATATGTAATCAATTTGTAGTAGTACTCTTCCTCTTCCTATTAGCCCAACGGTTCATATGTTTATCTGGGCTATATGCTGCTACTATCCTTCTTCAAACTGTTCATGTGTTTATCTTTGAAATTTTCTCCCTTAAGCAAGAGCATAAATTATGTTAATTAGAAACCACAATTCAAAAAGTTTACAACTATTAAAAAGTGAGGAAACATCCAACTTTTCATTCAAATTAGGATATAAACCCATATTCCCTAGAGTAGTCTTATTTTAAAATCTAAGCACCTTTATCAATTAATAGTTGAATGGATGTTCAAAATTCAATTGGATAATTTTTTATTTTATTTTTACACGGAAAATGAATTCCAATGGGTACTTTGATGGTAGATAACAAACATGTTTTTATACTTAATTTTAAGTTGAGATCTAAACTTGGTAAATTAGGTTTCTAAGTCCTCTCAGATTGAGTAAAAAAATGATCAATTTCATTATCTAGTTAATTGAACATGGAAGTAAGACCATTTTGAATACACAATATACCCTTACCATATCTCAATTCTACAAAAAAAAAAAAAAAAAAAAAAAAAAAAAAAAAAAAAAAAAAAATTCTAATATTTTACTACTTTTATTGTGTTCATCTTCAAATTTTATTATCTTTAACCTCTCTTACTTTGCAAACCTGGCTTTGCCCCTGTAACTACTCTACTTTGAAATAATCAATACTTCATGACTTTTCCCGCTTTTGAAACCGAGCATTATAAGTAAGTTCTCTTTTTTGAAAAACTCTTTTATATATATTCGGTTTGGTTGGTACTTTTTAAATAAATGTTAATGACAGTAAATTTCATGATAGAATAATTTTTTTTTTATTTAAAAAAACATTATTTTAAATTTAGAGTACTGCATGAATAATTTTAATTATTTAAGTTTGATTTGACATATTTATTATTAGATTTGACAATAATATTCATTATTAAATTGATATATTTTATTTAGCGAATGTGATTGTTTTATTAAATATAAAATTATTATGAGTATCAAATATTGAGGGCAAAAATGTAATTTGAACAACTTTCAGACTTTAGATTTTGTATTTAATAAACAATTTTAATGAATTCAACACTTAAAATTAAAACATTATAAAATAAATTTTCAAATTAATACATTGAATATTTAAAATTTCAATGCCTAAAATTTAATGTTTAAAATTTTCCATACTTAATTTTCAATTTTAGCAAATTCGGTTATCTTATAGGAGATTGAGAAAGACCCTCTCTATGGTCACGGAGAGAAACGTTATCGGCCGTTAAAAAATAAATAAATAAATAAAAATAATTGATCCATTTTTAATTTTAGTACACAACTTTGTATGGACCACATCACCCATATATGCTGGGCTGCATCACCATCTCGTTTTCATGGAAGGGAAATATTGTCCAGCACTACTAAATTGGGTTGGTTTAGGGAAACTAGTCAACTTTGGATGCAACAACCATCATATGTGATCCAACTCCAACCGGGATCACTTCTCATGGACTCGTGGAGAATGATTCTGATTTAGTTAAGAGCCTATTAGAAGTCGAAAGCGCTTTGGCTGGATCTTCACGGACAGAAAAATATTATAGTCAGTTTGGTAATGATCGAGTGCCTAGGACACTCCTCCAATTGATTTGACATGGGATTATTGATTGGGATAAAAATCTGGAAACGTGTTTTTGTTATTTTTAAAAATTGACAAAGAGTCCTTATTTATTCTTTATTGTTTTTTAATTTTTTTTTAATCAACTTAAAAAACACGATATTTCATTTAAGAGTGTCTAGGCTTTGTTGAACGTTAGACACATGGAAACAGCCTCGGACATGATTAGAACTGTACTAAAATTAAAATATTTTATTTTTTTGTTAGACAACTTTCTGGACACTTTCGTGGGATAGTTTTGTAATTTTATTTTATATATATATATATATATTTGGAAGAATGGAATTCAATAAAATTTAAATTATATTATGAATTAATTAAAAAATAATATATATTAAAAAAATAAAAATAACAA